TATGTTTCACGATCTCACCTGTTCAAGTTTTTAGCGAGTCTATCCCATTTTGCTCTATAAAACATCAAAAGTTTATTGTGCGATGGCCAGAGTGGGCTGCTTTATATTGTTCTCTTCATCAGGATATATGAAATTCCGTCAATTAGCTCGCCAGTCTGTGAATGGAGACTGCTTAATTCTTGTTTGTAAAACCCAAAACAAGGCTTCTGGATGACATTCATCTACCTCTCTATACCTGTAAAAGAGCCACCTTTAAAAAAAGTGGTTTAAGCCCAAAGATCTGCATTGATGACGCACTTCTCTTAAGAGAACAAAAACGGTGGAATCGGAAGCACAAAAAATTTCGGAAGTTAGAGCAACCAACTTCCAACTTGTTAGAACCGAACACTTTGAAAGATAGGTTCCTGATAAGACATTGATTGATAAGACAGCTTCAAGAGCTGCAGGAAGGATAAAAGACGGAAAATCTGTCATGCATTTTCCCTCTTTTAAATAAAAGTAGACTTTGAATCATTTGAGTCTTGCCGTAGGGCTCACATATACCACCACACGGATCCAAGGTGATACCACTGAGAACACTACCCACCCTCACTCGAAAGTCAACGTACAATAGTATGCGGAGTAAGAAAAATAAGTTATCTTTGCAACACACTTACTTCCAGTAAGAAATCCCAGCCATAGCGTAAAGTTAGCACCAGCGATGAACAACTCTTTTATAGTAATCTTACAAGTGGAGAGAAGCATGCCCAGTGCCCTGACAGTTATACTTGGTTCAGGAAAAACTGCTTGCCTGTGACATTTCCCTGTGATTCATAATTGTACCGTTCACCGGTTTCACTTGAGATACGCTAAAACAATCAGGTAGTCGGAAGCACTTGTTAATCGACTACCGACCTTAATATCTAACCTGTTATGCTGCAATTATCCTTGGTTTCCATCGGGGATAATTACCTTGCAGTCTTTTGTGTACTCAGTGAGGGTTAAGCAGTGGTTCATTCTTTTGTTCAAACAAAATCTTTCTAAAATAGTATTGCCGTACCTTTCGTACATTCATGACCTCGGTAGGTATTGTTCGCAATGATCCACTAAACGGAGGAGTGCTGTCGGCAGCTTCATTGGAGATTATGGCTCGAACGAAAGCATACCAGATAATATAAATCTACATAAATCTGCTCTGCCCAATTCATAAAAGAGCAGCGCCGTTGCATAAGCCTTACCCATCTAGCATATTGTGTGAGAGATTAAGCCAACCATCAACGAACTCAGTGCGGCTTTTGACCTTAGAACTCCCCCGTTGACTAGATATCCACGTTGCTTCAAATGTTTTAGAAAATCCGAGAGAAAGTAATCGATCCACGACAAAACTTGCAAAACTTATACGGTTGTGTAAACTAACCACAAACCACAAACTGCATCAAAATTGGGAAAGACCTCTGCTACCCTATCCGCTCGGTAGCATATGACGTTAGATCAACTTTCTGCAGATTGCACAAAGAAGCGAAAGTAGGTAACGAGCACAAGACGAAATATCCTCGACTTTCACGCCTTGGGTCTTAAACAATAACTTTAAAGTAGTAAGTAAAAAACTAAAGAAGACTGAGTAAGCAATTTAAAAGAAATGTCCACCTACGACAAACAAAAATTAGAGTCTAAAAGACGCTAATCATTTCCGTCCTGCTGTATGATATAAAAGCGTCCACGGTGTTAACATTGAAAGAGTCGGCTTTGGAAGACTTCGAAAGAAAAGTTATGCAGAAAATATAATATCTGGTGCTTTTCACATTGCCAAGAAGGCCTACCACAGACGATGAGACGATTACGATACTTATACGACAACATTAGAATAGTTCACCGAACAAAGAGTCATCGGCTACGCTGGCTAGCCGATTTCGCCCGAATTGCGCACTCCAGCTTTTAAAGTATTCAGTGCAATACCCGCTGGTTGTAGAAGGGAAAGAGAGAAAATCCCAATCTCTTTGAAGTAACAGGTAAAGAGTGATCTGGTTTTACTTGGTAGAAGAAAAGTTTATCGCGAGTGTTAAACACCGGAGCACTACTCCGTGGTGCAGTATAAGCCTCACAACTGCGAAGTAAAGCAAATTCACTTTTTTAGCTGACACGCCTCACCTGCGCTCAGCAATAGATGTTTTAAGAAATATTCTATGTGATTATGCTGGGTTCAATCTAAATCAGTAAGTCAGAGCCGGATTAAGTATGTACTATTTGCTCAGATGAAATCAATATTTTTCACAGTGTTTTGTCTCTACATTTAACTGTAACATACTTGTTTCCTGTTATGTGTTCATATATTGACGGAAGTTATTTGTGGTGGATTTAGGTGATAATGCGTAAGGTTATCACGACCGATTGATAATAATATTGTCAACGCTTATTGGTTTCATTCAGTAAATCAGTAACTTTTATTTAATGCAATTTGTGCATGCAATTTAAATTTTACATAGAAAATATTTATAATCTCGAAATTCAAATGGAAAAATTAAAATGACTTGGCTCAAAGTGAAAAAAAAACATAATTTGTCTATTATCTTAGTGAATAGTACCTAAGTATGTAAGCCACAAGGAACTATTGGACGATATCGTGAGAACAGCATAAGCTCGATAGCAGCATATTTTGGTATCGAAATTCTGTTTTCTAAAATTTCTTGCAATATCTTCATCTTACAATATCGAAATCCAATTTGACTGCAATGAAACTTCAGCCATAACTATTTGTTGTTGTAAGCTCTTATGAGGCTAAAACTTAAATATGTTATATGCAGTTTTATGTATATACTATGTATATATGCACTAATGCACATATATAAGTTAATTGTTGAGAAACGATACACCTGCTCAACAGTTTGAGTATATTTACATGAGTCCATTGTAATTACCAAAAATAATTATTTGAACAACTAATAGGGTTAAGTGTCAAAAGGATGGGTTATAGACGACACCGCTCAACTATTAAATAATAAATGAACATGCTATTGTATGCCTATGCGCGTGTATGTATGTGGGTAGTGCATGTCCTCGAGTGGAACAAAACAAAATATTGTCAAATGTTAGCTTTCCAAATGTAAGTCTCCCATTGACAGTGTTGTGTTGTTGTTGTTTTTGTTTTTGTTATTTTTATTATTGTGTCGCTAAAAAGAGCTTCAAGGCGCCACCTCTCGAAGCATTAGCCATACATACACAGGGGTGTCGTCAAACCCTTGCCAAGCAGAGCAGTTCAGTGCAGTGATCAAATAATACATGCTCATGCACACATACTATGTATGTGTATACAAATATACCAAACATTTATAAATATATATGCAATATAATACATACATTTAAATATGTATGTAAATGATTTAAGGCATCCCACTGGGGTCGCAATACTCACTCGTATAATGTCAAAGCAAACAACACACAATAATATTAACAAATATTAACAAATTTAAGTAACAACAAAAGCCATTATTTGTTATTGCATTAGCGACAATTATTAAATACCAGTTTCGTACACGAAAAGTACCATTACTAAATATTAATACATATGTATGTACGAGGTGTGACAATTAAGTAATGAGACTGATTATATTGCCGCGATTGTGGTAACCCTGCGACCTTGAAATTTCCTTTTCCTTCCCCCGGCATCCTTCCCCTCTCCATTCATATATTTGCCACCATCGCTCTAGCTCGTTTAGTTCGCCTGTAAATGAAAATGGAAAAAAAGAAATCAAGAGCAACGCGTCGCGATAAAATTTTGCGCCAAATTGGATGAAACTGCTTCGGAATCGTACGCTAAAACTGTAAAGTTATTGCTCTCAGACGTGCCCAGGTGTTTCGATGGCATAAAGGGTTTAAGAAGGGGCGTGAAAGCGTGGAAACGGGCCTCTAAAGGGATCGCGTGGTGCAACAACGACCTTAATCGCATGAAATGTCACCCTGTGACTTTTTTTTCCAGAAGATTTGAGTCGATTGAGGACATCCAGGCAGCCGTGACCGGGGTACTCGGGAACACCCCAGTCGAAGCGTTCCAGAAATGTTACGAAGCATGGAAAACGCACTGGAATCGTTGTATAGCTGCCCAAGGCGACTACTTTGAAGGGGATGGCAGAGTTGTAGAATAATTTTGAAAAATACGGTTTTTATGGAATCAGTCTCATTACTTGATTGGCACACCTCGTTTGTACGAGGGGATTAACGAGAGTTCGATCAGTTGGCAAATTTCAATTTATTTTTTTTTTTAACACTAAAAATGCCAAATCCGCAAGATAACTGATTATAGGTAAGACGAAATTCCACCACCAAAGCAAATCATGTGACTCTTCTCGGGTTTCGGCCCATAGAAATATTCGGTGAATGCCAAAATGCATTTGGAACGATTGACCCGTCTATAAGCACTATTTCTAACAGGTTCCGAAGAGACCGAATATTTTTCCGTAGAGGACGAGCTCCGAGAAGGTCGACCAAAATCATCCACTCACTCACTGTAGCTCTCTTGAAGTCCAAAATTGACGATGAACCACGACTGACATAAGAAATGATTGCTAATGAATTTGGTTTGCATACCATGCCTGCATCGCGAATATTAAGTAATCATCTGGGATGCATGAAGAAATCTGCTCAATGGGTACCACGAATTTTGAATGAGGCCCATAAGAGGCTCGGGTGCATTTTGTTCAAGCTTTTCCTAAACAAATTCGAAAATTGTCAGTCTAGCAACTTTAGTTAAATCGTTACTGATCACGAATCTTGGTGCTATAATCCATAGATCAGAAACCAAACAGTAGTCCATGATATGGAGCGCACCCCTAAAATCTTAGCAACAAAAATCAGCAGCAAAAGTATTAACTTCAGTATTGACATAAACAAGTTCCCATTCATTCTATGATTCCGAAACAGTCGGACGTATCCGAACTTAGCCTTCCTTCAAGAGCTTAAATAATGATAAGACCTAAAATGGGAGCCTCAATAAAACCTAGATATTTGGGCAAAAATCAACAACAAAATTTATTCATTGAAATCATTTATTGACTGCAAATATCAGTCATTTATTGCAAGATTTCGAAATATTTGCGTCTCCCACATTCCACTCTCTCCACCTCTTTCCCAAAACACCCGCCTGCATTTCAGCAGGTTTGACTGCGCGAGCTTAGAGATGAACTTAAACTGGTTGTACTGATTTTTTGCAATTCACAAAGACGTTCCCATGCAATATTGAATTGACGTGGAGTGCGTGCCAGAGCCAAGCGTGCAAAAGGACCCAACGTTCTATAGCCATTGTTAATGAAACGTACAAAACCCGTTGAAGAGAGTCCTTTCAATGCCATCTTTACCTGCGCCTCAACATCACCACTGGCATAGCCTCTACGGGAGAGAAACAATTAAAATGCAGATCTTATAAATTTACTGGAAGCATTGCAATCACTTACTCCTTCTCTAACATATCAATGATATGATACTCCTTCAAGCCACGTGCGAATTTCGGATGATCTTGAAATAGGCGTATGACATCCAAGACGAAGAGTGGCACGTGCAGGTGATAAACATTACGACGCAGACACGATGTTGACGGTTCACAATCACGAATATTTCCACGCATTTTCTTACTCGTATTCGCGAATTATTTGTTTTATATGTAAATTTTGAAGAAATATATATTTGTAGGTATGTAAATAATATTAAGAAATTGTTTAAAAAATATATATGGATTGTTTGTATGTTGTTAATTAAAGCTTTTAAAGCAATTAAATTTTATTCTTTCATGACAATTTAATAAAGAAAAAAATAATTTGAAAGTTTTATGAAGTCTGTCCAAATGCCTGGAGTTTACTTGACAAAATTTATAAATTGTTTAAACTCTTTGATTACTTTAATACAGTGCGACAAGTAAGTATACAGACAAATTATACTAGCTATACAACATTTCATAACTAGAAAAATATGAAATTTACTTACTCACCACCCCTTACTGGCTGGAACACAACAATAGGCCCACGGTATGGTATAACGGGCGGAACGAATGTTGATATCACGAGACATCGACAAACATTCTATATTATAGTTTCGATAAAGGTTCAATCTCGCGAACACGACTAGTTAGCATTACGTACTGCCACTCAATAGGCCAGGTTTCGAGTCTTGATCTAATTAACAAACAAAAATTAAAGAAAATTAATTTAAATGGAAATTAGGTAAATCCTTCAATTTTTAGTTGCGCTTCGGCAGGGAGTGTCAAGCCCTCCGAGCGTAGTTCTGAGATGCAATAAAGGTCGCCCATAAAAAAAACGATTAGCCATTCGGAAGCGGCGCGGCTTAGAATAAATTGCAGATCCTTCAATTTATTGGAAAAACACCCAGATGCAAAGCACAAGTTGGAGCAAGAGCTCGGCTACAAAGCGCCAAATAACTTCACTCTTTTTTATTACTGGTAGAGCTCTTGGTCTAATAAATTTCAATGGAGCACAGATTTTTTTTTTATTAATATTTTTTTCTTCCTTTTGGGGAAACACATGTTAACAATTTATTTACGCGCTAATGTCATCTAATTAGAGGTGTCATTAACAACCTTACAACAAAATTAACCCTGATATGCCAATATGCTATTACTGTCTTCTTTTGGGATTTCTATGTTTATTTATGTACATGGCAATTTATTTTAGTACATATTAAGGTTACACATATATATATGTACATACATATTTATCAACGTTTGACATATCCATAACAATTAGGTCTAGTTGTTTCACTTTCAATAACAATTACAATCATTGGATTTATTACCTGCTCATTTGTAATTATTAGTTTGTTGGTTTTTTTTCTTTATTTCCAAATATAATATATATAATTGTATTTATTCTCTGTTATTTGAAGGTACAACCCATCACATTATTGTCTTCCATTGATTAAATACTGGTTTGATGACACCGTCAGAAGGACATACATACAGAGGTGGAAATTTTTATAAAAATTTCCAGTACAATATACATACATATATTCATTCATATAATTACGAAAACTGTTATCGAGTGGGCTGAACCAGACATATATAAGTACATACATATATAGTATAAAAAACATTGTCATAGAAATTGGGTTTTTTTTTTGGAAATTTTTTTCTATTTATCGTTAAGTTTGCAGTTTTAATTGCTTGGAATAAAAAAATAATCAATAATTAACATAAAGCAAAATGCAATTAAAGTAACTAAAAATTAAATACAATAAAAGAAAACAAAATAAAAAAATAAACAAAATGAAATAAAATAATATACAATAAAATAAAAAATAAATAAAGAAATATAAAATACTATAAAATAAGATTAAATTGAAAAAAATACAATAAAATAAAATAAAAATAAAATAAAAAATAAATAAATATAAAATACGATAAAATAAGATTTAATTAGAAAAATAAAAAGAAAATTCAATACATTAAAATCAAATATAATAAAAAATAAATGAGTAAATAAAATGCTATAAAATAAAATTTAATTGGAAAAATAAAAAATACAATAAAATAAATTCAAATTAAATAAGAAATAAATTAATAAATACAAAATACTATAAAGTAAGATTAAATTGGAAAAATAAAAAAAAATAAATAAAATAAAAAATTAATAAATAAATAAATTACAATAAAACAAGATTAAATTGGAAAAATAAAAAGAAAATTCAATAAAATTAAAAATGAAATAAAATTAATTTTTATTTATTAAAAATAATTTGGCGATTTATTAAAAGATGGATCCACCCACAAGTAAAGGCCGATCTGCACAGCTAATCGTTCCATCGACTGAGGACCATAAATCGTGCGCAAAAACCTTTCTCTCGAAAACTCCTAACGCCGGCTCATCAGTTCAAAATCTGCGTAGGATTTCTAGGCTGTCATTGTTATTGGTGTATTGGTTCCAAGATAGAAAAAGCTATCGACAACTTCAAAATTATGACTGTCAACAGTGTAGTGGATATCAAGTTGCGAATCCGATGATTGTTTGTTTAATGACAAGATTTATTTCTTCTTGTCTTCGTTCACTACCAGAACGATTTCCTTAGCTTCGTTATCCAATCTCTTATTATTTTCTCCAGTAATAAAATAAAAAGGCCACACGATAAGCCTTGTCTGAAACTTCGTTTGGTCTCGAACTGTTCGGAGAGGTGTTCCTTAACGTCATAGTTGGGTCATAACACTTTGCTGGACGAACATTTCGGCAAACGGGATACCTGACAGGTATACCAAGTTTGAGTGCGCTGAGTTCGATGGCGTTAGCCGTTTTTCAAAGTTAGCTACCATTTTCAAAATATTTGCCCATTTTATATTTTTTTTGTCTATTACAAATATACTGCTTTTCGATTCACATGAAACTCACTGAGCCGAGGGTTTTGGAGTCACTGATTACGAACCCAAAATTCTTTCTTTTAGAATTCAAAACATAGTGGTAAAATTTTTAAAATCTATTAAAACCACTTGAAACTCATTACTTGGAAGGTTTTTAGTTTACTAAAATTCAAATTAAATAAAATAAATATTTAAAATATTATATACAATATTATGAATAATATAAAAAATAATAATAACAATAAGCATCGAGTTGATAAAAAAAAAATAATGTTAAATAGAAGAAGAAAAATCGTACAGTGATTGCGTGAAAAACAACGAGAAACGACACAAGGTGATTTGGCATAATTACAACGCTCAGTCTCACGTGGCTGTAACGATCAAAAACTACCGGGAAACGCTAAAATGAGGGTCTTGCCTCAATCTCAATACTCTCCTTTTTCCGACTACTAACTTTTTCGACAATTGGATCGAGGCCAGATCAGACTTTTTTAGAGTTGGTATTCGAAAATTATCAGAAAGCTGACAAAAAGTAGTGGTTTCCGTCGGACAGCACTTTGAATCATGTAATTTTATACTTTTTTTCATTTAATAAAAAACACTTTTTTGAACACAAAATTAAGGATTAAATAAATTTGTACTCCCAATAAATAAAATGAACTAAATTAATAAAAAATAACCTAAATTAATTTAATTAAAAAAAATAGATTAAAATAAAATAAACGAAATTAAATATTTTTTTTGCGGGTGAAGAGAGGATAAATGCCTTCCGCATTATCATTGTGTCACATCAATGGTATGTGCAAGACATTGAAATGCTGTCTCCTGAGGTACCTTTGCTCAGCCTAGAACCGCTTTCGCAATACCTCATGGTGGCGTTCCATATTTTTGCTGTATGTTACCAGTTTGACTCACTCTGAAGCATTACTGGCACGATGTTGTCCACATTCAGAGACTACATCCGGTTATCTGGTTCCGTTTGTCATCCATCCGGTGTGCAGAAGGATAGCTCTCCTGCTTTGCCCATTTATAACTACTTCCGTTTCTTCAAAGGCTCCTCATAAAACACCATCAGCTGTTCGGAGGGGGCTTAGTATAAACTCCTGAATAAACCGCTGAAGCAATTTCCGGCCAAGCTCCTCCTCCTCCAATTTGTGGTTTTATGTCTTAAAGTTTTTTTGCCGCCTCCGAACGGCTGATGGCATTTTATAAGGAGCCTTTATTTCATATCAGAAATACATTCGAACGGGTTGACAATTACAAAATTTAGCTTAATTTTTTATTTTAAATTAATTTTCAATAACTTTTTTTTATGTTAGTACGACAACAGTATTTAAACCTCGAGCCTTCCGAAAGACAGTACACAATCCTAACCACTCGGCTACCGCCGCAATTAATTAAATTATAATATTTGGCAATCTCATCAACTATAACATTCCCTACAAAGCCCTTTTTATCTGATACGCCAAGCAAATAGGCTTTCCTGCACCCATCTTATTCACTGCCTCCCTGTGAATAGTTACAGTTTGTACGAAATGGGATGTGAAATTATTGCTTTAATTGCTGCATTGCCATCAATGTATATATATATATATATTTATTGTATATTTTAAATCTTTTCTTATTTCATAGTTTTGGCGGCTTTCCTAACCTCAAAGACCCTTCGCCTGGTGAAAGAATATTATGGAAGCTTTAAGCTTGCCGGAGTTTAGCTCAACGCCATAAGCACCAGTTAATTTTTGATACGTCCGTTGGTGTGGTGAACTGTAAACCATATTTTTCACAAAAATGTATGGGTACACGTATGTAGTTTATTTAGCTGCCCTTTTTTTTAAATTATATGAAACCTCTTTTTATGAGTAAAGGACATTATTGGCTTTTTAAAATTTAAAATTAATTTATTTTGAATAAAAAAATATTTTCTTAAAATAATCTACTGGTAGTTAAATTGAATAAAGTTTCTGAAAAGGATCTGAACTAGTGCCGTCATTGAGAAATTTCTATGACACCCTGTAAATGAGTATGAATGGGTATGTATTTACATATTACACATACACGTAAATGCATATTAGTCGCACATGATTTAAAGACAAATTTATTTAGTGAGAATCAAAAGGTCTCAAACTGCCATCGGCAAATTTTCTAAAACTTTAAAGGCACATACATAATTGAAATTCCAATTAATTAATGAATTGATTGGAAAAAATTATGCACACACATACAGTCATAAATTTGTGGTATACCCATATATTTGTATGCATAAGAGTAATCAATTCTAAAAAGTTTAGTTTCATAATATGTACACATATGTATGTGTATGTGTATGCGCTTACATCAAAGTTGGACTTGTTTCCTTATCGTTACAGAAAAAAAAAATTGAAATCTCTTGACCCCAGGGATCGCAACTTTCGCATTAAGGGTACTTTTTTGGTGCGAATTTCCAATAGACAGATTCGTAAACAAGTTACATACGTAAAGTGAAAAATGTGATGTGTAAGAATTAGTTAATATTTGATGATTAACCTTATCATGACAAAAATTTGTAAATACATACATACATACATACAAACAAGTATATAAACAAATCATTCATGCTCCATTTAATGCTTTTACTAAACATTAAACAACTAACTGGTGATTTTGTATTTTATTTTAATTTAGAAAAAATTTACAAAATTCTTGTTGATAATTTGATTAATTTAGTGGGAATTCTTAGCCTATTCAAGCGTTATTCATGTACATACTTATGTTATATGCACAGATATGTGCAAGTTGAATTGCAATAGCAGCAGATAATTAGGAATTTGAAAAAAAAATATATGATAGACATCCAATGATTATTTTTTAATATAAATATTTTTTATTAACAAATGAAAATAAGTTTAAATTAATTCATCGAATCATAATAACTTTCGCTGAAACGAACTGCAATCCCTCTTCTTCTTCTTTTTTCGATTATTTAATTTAATCGTAAGGGATTTTGAGTTGAGTATTCAGTGAGGGTGTAATGGGGTGTACTCAAGCTTCTGGGTATGCGGTTTCAATTGCAACTCAATTCCTACTCTTGCGTCCACGTCACGCATCCTGGAAACGTGAGCAACCGTTGTGCAAGACGCAGTAACCAAACCGTGTGGAGTCTTGGGTCATGGATAATGAGAGAGAAAGCTTCAGTGGTTTAAGGGTCTGCTGAAGTCTAATTGCAGCGTCTGTTCACCAGAGGTGCGGTTGCGAACGGGCGTCGGTGGAGGCATGCACTTGGAATGTCCGGTCTCTTAATTAGGAAGGTGCCGCTGCCCTGCTGGTTGATGTCCTCGTAAGAATAAAGGCCGTGTGACATTCATTACAGCGTCCATATAAAGGAGGGCAAATTTGGTGTTGGATTTGTGGTGGGAGAGAGACTCCGTCGTCGAGTACTGGCATTCACCCCGGTGGATGAGCGACTCCCCACAATCAAAACAAAACTGTTGGAAAATTCAGCCTTCACAACGAAACATTCCCTAATGAGTTTAGGCTGATCGACTACGCCAGGGCCCGAAATGTGATTTACTAAACTCCAGCACTCCTGCTTTTTGAGAGCAATCAAAGAAAGAGGCCAAGATGCGTGAGTTTGAGGATCATTAGAAGCAGACCTACAAGGGCATTCTCGAAAACTGTACAATAGGTTCGAAGGTTTGAAGACCGAAGCAAACTCTTGTAGGAAACAAAGAGTGATCTAGCCACCGATGCCCAGAGTATATTATATTTATGGAGGGAACACTTCTCCAACCTGCTGAGTAGTAGTAAAATGGAGAATCCGGAGATGGTGAACCCCAAACCCTAATCGATGAGGATGGAAAAGGCATTCCATTACCTGACCACGAAGAAGTTCGAATAGCAATCGCCCGCTTAAAAAACAACAAAGCGGTGGGAGATGACGTCGTACCGGCATAACTATTCACACATGGCGGTGAAGAGCTAACAAGGTGCATACATCAGCTACTTTGCAGAATATGGTCGCACGAAAGCATGCCCTAAGATTGCAATTTAAGTGTGCTCGGACTCCACAGAATGCGACAATTACCGTGGGATAAGCGTCCTTAATATCCCCTATAAGGTCCTGTCGAGCGTATTGTGTGAAAGATCGCCCACCCACCGTCAATAAACTGATTGGACCGTATCAGTTTGGCTCCAGTCAACCATTGACAAGATATTCCCAAAGCAAAAAATCATGGAAAAGACCCGTGAAAAGAGGATCGACACTCATCACCTTTACGTCGATTTTAAAGCCGCCTTCGACAGCACGAAAAGGAGCTGCCTTTACGGCACTATGTCTGCATTTGGTATCCCCGCAAAACTTATACGACTGTGTAAGCTGACGCTAGACAACACCAGAAGAGCAGTTTGAATTGGGAAGGACCTCTCCGAACCGGTCGATACCAAACGAGGTTTCAGACAGGGTGACTCTTTGTCGTGTGATTTCTTCAATTTGATGCTGGAGAGAAAAATAAGAGCTGAAGAGCTGAATGGAGAAGGTACACTGGCGTACGCCGATGGTATTGACATTATCGGCTTCAACAACCACGTTGTTAGACGAGGACAAGACGAAATATCTCTTGTCATAAAACAAACAAACATTGCATTCGCGACTTAGCTCCCACGTCACTGTTGACAGTCATAACTTTTCAGTCGTAGATAATTTCGTCTATCTAGGAATCAGCATTAACACCAATAATAACGTCAGTCTTGAAATCCAACGCAGAATCACTCTTATCAACAGGAAAATCTTTTTAGCGGGTTTTAAGGTAGCTTTCCAAAATCATTTTCTTTTTTTTGGAAATTATGGGTGGTCTTCAAAAAAAAAAAATGTTGCGACCATTAAAATCGTTTGCAATTTAATTAGCTCTAATTTTTTTTAACAGCTCCGTACGACAGTTATCGTTCTACAACTCTGCCATCCCCTTCAAAGTAGTCCCATTGGGCAGCTATAAAACGCTTCCATGCTTCGTAACATTCCTGGAACGCTTCGACTGGGACGTCCGGGAGTCCTTAATCGACTCAAAATGGGTTCCTTTGACCACCGATTTTGTGCTATAGAACAAAAAAGTCGGAGGCCAAAAACTGGGACACCCTGTGGGCGGTGTGGCACGGTACCTTGTCGTCATGACGGATCCAGTTACGAGCGATGTCTGGACGCACCTTGTTGACTCGTTTCCGCAATCTTTCGAGTACTTGGCGATAGTAGACTTGATTTACTGCCTGATTTTGCCTCGGTGGAAAAAAGCCAATTACCATCCACGCTTTAACGCCCCTCCTTAAACCCTTCAGGCTATCGAAACACCTGTGCACGACTAAGAGCAATAATACCATGCACTTTTAGAATTTTAACGTACGATTCCGAAGCATCACGAACACACGACACAGCAGGCGAACTAAACAAGCTAGAGCGATGGCGAATATATCAATGGAGAGGAGAAGAATGCCGGGCCAGTAAGGGAATTTCAAGATTACAGAGTTACCAGAATCGCGGCAATTTAATCAATCTCATCACTTAATTGTCACACCTCGTATGTAAAAGGATTTTAGTACTGTCTGAAAACAGAAAAGTTAACATTTACTGGCCGCCAGATAATCCCATTCCCCAAAAGCTTTTTATCAGGCAAAGAAAATATGCGGAAGTCGGTCTTTTTTATACAATTTTTAAAAATACTGTCTTTTCTCTTAGAATTTTGATAGTTTTAGACATTCTCGACATTATTTATTCATGCCATTCGCATTATATGACTCCAAAAGTTTGAGTTGGTAGCTCAAGAAATAATATTAATTTACATAATTTTATTATTTTAGAATTTAAAAAAAAATTGTTCGACGTAAAACTATTCAGAACGTTTTAATTGTAATTGTTATTAATATATAAATATTACCATGCAAGGTTTTAGAGTTTTATAGTCAGAATATTACGCTTTTTTGTAAATAGAATTATTCAAATTTATTTTAAAAATTTCGGCAACCCACAAAATCGAACCAACTTCGTTACTAAACATATGATTTAATTTTTGTAGTAACATTCTGTTCTAAAAAAAAAAGTTTAAAAAATTTGTTTTTTCATCAAACAAAATTTTGTACATCTTCACGAGACTTTCCTCAATTGGATTTAGTTTATCAGTCACCAATAAGATAAAAAATGATTACAACAAAAAAAGAAAATCGAAATTCGAGTAGGACTCAATATTTATATTAAAACAATGCCGTCATATGGAAGGTTGCTCTTGTTCTGGTCCTACATAAATACATATATTCATGTCCATGAAGTGTGATTGAGCTCTGTTGATTGATACCTTGAATATACATAAGTTCTCTATCAAGCGGAGGTATCATAGAAAGCAAAAATTCCATTATAAGAGAGGGAGTGTTCATATTCAATCAATTTAGTATGTACTTTTTAACCAAGTTGTGGATGGTGCCACGCCTACTTAAAATACATATCAGCGCAGATACACGTACATATATATTAATGTACTTTTGGCTAGCATTTTACGTGTGAAATCGATTAAAGTTCGAAAATCGCAACCTCAGCGCGTGACGTGGAATTTCCCACACTTTCGAGTTTTCTTAGAATTATTAGAATATGTAACAAATTGCCTTTCCCTTCATAGAACAACTCGATTAATTTTTTCTAAGCCAAGATAAGCATCTATTCTAAAAATTTGTTTTATTTTGAAAAAAAAGTAATAATAATAATAACAATAAACACAAATGTCGCTGATAACCTTTTGAATAAATAGCGAACTTTTTTGCGTTTTAGTAACTTCTAAGTTCGATTTATTTTATTTGTACACCATACTACAGATATATTCGAATACAGTTTGTTTAAAATGCGAATTATTTTCTTTTTTCTAATTTATAACATTTCTCAATTTGAAAATACATAATTGGATTTGTCTAAGTAAGTTTTATTATTTTGTGTTTTTTTTAGTTATTATTATTATTATTTTTTTTTTTTTGAGATTCTCTCAAATTCGTTCAACCAAAAAACTTTGCTTTCTCCAATATTTGTTATCAATACTACTGCTAAGTTTTTTTTCCTAAATTACTCACTTTCACTCACATTTTCGTTGAATCCATAATTTTTAACACATCGTTTTTTAGTAGTAAATATTTTATTTTTCAACAATATATTTTTCAAACAAAATTTTCCCTTCATATTTTTTATTTATATCTAAGTAAAATCGTTTAGACTTAATTTTTACGTTTTTTAAATGTTTTTTATTTATTTGTATGCATGTTTTTCTTAATTTTATTATGTTTTTCATTAATCTCTATTTTTTCAATTTTTTTCTGATTATAAATACAAATGCTTCATTTACATCTGTAATGTTTTGTAAATTACAATTTTTTTTTTATAATTTTTTTCACAAGCCACTTACTTTTAATCACGCCTTGAATCAAATCCAATTTTTTATAATACATCTTTTTTTCCATAAAAATATATTTTTAAATTCATTTATCATTAAAAACTTTACCATTTGCAAGTAAAATCGTTTATTTCTTGTCGTTTTCGTTTCAAATTATTTTTAAATATTCAAACTTTATTTCTAATTTTTTATTTTATTTTTCATTAATCCATATTAATCTGTTCTCACTATAATCATACCAATTATTTTCCTCTTCAGTTTCTGCGCTCTCCTTCGATTCGCTTGAGTCTGTTGTGGCTCCTTCAGCTTCTGCGCTCTCCTTTGATTCGCTTGAGTCTGTTGTGGCTCCTTCAGCTTCTGCGCTCTCCTTTGATTCGCTTGAGTCTGTTGTAGCAGATTCAGTTTCGCCACTCTCCTTTGATTCGCTCGAGCCTGTTGTATCTCCTTCAGTTTCGCCACTCTCCTTTGATTCGCTCGAGTCTGTTGTAGCACCTTCAGTTTCGCCACTCTCCTTGGATTCACTCGAGTCTGTTGTAGCAGATTCAGTTTCGCCACTCTCCTTTGACTCGCTCGAGTCTGTTGTATCTCCTACAGTTTCGCCACTCTCCTTTGATTCGCTCGAGTCTGTAGTATCTCCTTCAGTTTCGGCGCTCTCCTTTGATTCACTTGAGTCTGTTGTATCTCCTTCAGTTTCGGCGCTCTCCTGCGAATCACTTGCGGAATCAGAATTGTCTCCTATTTCAACGCGTTCATCTTGTTCTTCAAAATTTCTTTTTAGGCATGTTATGTATGAGTCTAAAGATAGCGCTTCAAGTAAGCAAGACAATTTAACGTGCTCCGAAATTTCATCGTAATTGAAATTATTTTCTGTACTGTAAAGATATTTATTATCATTTAACAGAAACTCAGCTGATACATCTCGTTGTGTAGGATCCATAGTTGTTGGTACAAAGAAAGTCGCATAATCATTGTTATCATCATTATCGTCGTTGCTATCTTCACTATTTACTTCTGCGGACTTTTGTTCCTCTTCGACTATTTTCCACTCATCATGCTCATTATGACTGTTATTTTCATTTGAGCTATCAATATTTTCACTTTGTATAATCTCGTTACTTGCTTGTGCATTTGTCGTAGACTCTTCTGGGGTTTCATAATCCTTCTCCTCTACAGTCGCATATTTACGATAGACCGCATTGAACCACGATTCAAAACTTTCTTCTGATTTCTCACTAGAATTATCCGCTTCACCATCATCATTATCTGTATCTTCCTCAGTATGATGTAATTTCACGGACGGCCCGAAATGAATACGAAACCAAGTATCAAAATCTTCTGAAGAGCTTTTAGCCTCTGAATCTTCTTTGTCATCACTTTCATTTGAGCTCTCTTCACTATCAATTTGCTCCTGTGTCACATGCTCCTCAGAGTTGTCTTGTCTTCCTAACACATTATTATCATCATTTTCATCATTATTATTATTATCTACACTAACATTTTCAGCTGACTCGTCAGTCGCCACATTTTTACCGCTATCCATATCTGCTTTTGCTAGCACGAGAAAATCTTGCAATAAAGATTGGAAAGAGGAATCCAACTTCAAATTCACATTAATATTAATAGTACTCTCTTCAGCTTGCTTCGCCTTTGCCAGTAGCAGTGTACCGAGCATATTCTTCATCTGCGCTACAACATCTGTAACCGAACTTTTTATTTCAGTTGCCTCCTCAGCAATCGTATTCACACTCTGCTCATTGAAACGTTGCACTTCTAACAGTTTGTCAGCGTTCAAAGTGCTAGCAGTATTCGAAGGATAATTTGTTGCTGCTACCTCAAACTTCGGCTCATTTAACGGTTGCATACTTTTGAAGAAATTCAAAAGTAGTTTTTCACTTTCGTTACTCTCCGTTTGTACGGGCTGTGCAGGCCAATGTGAGAATGGGGGTGAGAATGTACGTTGAAAGCGCTGATCTTGACTGGGCCAAGCGCCACTGCTGCTATATCGACGGTTGAAATAATTACTGGTGGGTGCAGATGGATGTACTATAGATAAAAAAATATTGGAAAAAATTAAAATATTTACCTTCTTGCGTCTATTTCTTATACAAAAAAAAATTACAATAATAATAAACAATTACAACTACCTTTCTCTCCAATATCCGCCACGGTTTGATAATAATTCGTCCGCCCAGTTGGATAATCCATTACGCCACATATACGCACCGTACGTAATGGTGTGAGTGGATCTTCGGTTAAGATAGTTTGCTCCCTACATTTATATCCTTCAAGACTACGTGCACTGATTGTTGTTGTTATGCTTAATAGCGTAATTAAAGCTATTTTGTACAACATTGCAATAAATTCTAATTTAAGTATTTACTAGACAAGTATGTATGTAAATAGATATGTAAAGGAATTTAATGCAAATAATTGAGCAATAATTTTTCGTTACTTTCACGAGCACTTGCAGCTAGAGACTGTGTGAAAAATGTGTGAGACAGTCGCTTTCCTTAAGTCGAGCTCAATCAATAATTTGCGCTACTGATGGCAAGTTCAATAATTGATAACACATACATACATACCCAAATATGATATAGCGCACATGTGTTTAGTATGTTGGTGCATATGTATGTATGCAGAATTAAACAAATATAAATAAAATAAAATGAAAATACACGCATACATATTTATTTCGTAAAAAAACTGTCTTTAATTATTATTATAAATAAAAAAAATTAAGAATATATATGTATATACATATTTACGTATATTTATGCTATATTGAGTCATGCATATTTTCCTACTCACTTCGATAGGTGTAAATTTAGCCTTTTGAAGAAATTAATTATATTATACTATATTAAAGTTTTTGCAAAAAAAAAAAAACGAAACAAAAACTTTTTGCAAAAAAAAAAACAATGTCTACATATACCAACGACAACTCAAATCGTATTATGCATTCTTGCATTAAGGTGCTGCTTTTGACTGAGTAGGCAATTGAAAACTAAAATCCTCTCTCAACGAACGAAAACCAAACTCTACAAGTCGCTTACGGTTCCCGTACTGTTATTTAGTGCGAGGCAAGGAAGTTGACAACATCAGATGAGTCGGTGCTAGAAGTTTTCGAGAGTAAGGATTTTGCCCAAGATTCATGGTCCTCTACGAATTGGGAATGGCGAATACCGCCGCCAATGGAAGGATGAGCTGTATAAGATACACGGCAACATTGAGTGCAGCGAATCAAGAAACAGCGGCTGCGGTGGCTAGTTATGTAGTCCGGAGGGATAAGATTACTCTAGCTTTCTAAGTTTGCGATGCAGTAGCCGCCGGTGGAAGCAAAGGAAGAAGTCATGCCTGTACTTGGTATCTCCAATAGGTGCCAAAAAGCGAAAGAAGGAAGAAATGTCACGCTGCTGTTGTTAACACGGCTACATTTGCGTAAGCGCTGTCCATGCCAGTAAAGAAAAATTTCGTTGTTTTTTCAAGAAATGTATAGACCTACAGTTTATTCTAATCCGCCTCCGAACGTCGGGTGTATATTTCTGACAGGAAATAAAAATCTTCTCATACAAATTCATCGGCCGTTAGGGGCGGCTTAGAGTGTATAGGAGGTCTGTACTTTTGTTTTAAAGACATCAAGACTTATACGACAATTCGAGCAACTATGGATTGCGGTTGCTCCACGTTTATTCAAGTGGATAATTCGTATCATCTCACAGTGCGCACCGGATACACCATTGCTGCTGTGGAGCAGAGTATCGACGGCCTCCACGGCGCAAAATAATTGGAACTGTGTCCATCCACTTTATAACAAAAATATTTTGCGGAAGGTCGCTGGTTTGAGGGCTTACAAAATCCCGTCCGCCCGTTCGGTTAATGGGAACAAAACGTTCCCGATTTTCAGTAGAAGATTTTGTTCAGCTCACTTTGGTTGAATGGGTATGTTAATAAACGAAGTGGCTGCACTTGGAATGATAATATTCCTCTAGCCATTGTTGAGAAGCCGTTACATCCTCAAATGGTCACTCTTTAGTGATTTCTTAAAAGTAAAGAAGACCATAATGTTACAGTTAGTGGACCATGGGACCATGATTAATGACTTTTTCGTGACTAAATTATAGGATGTTGATGTGGACGACCTTTGGTTAAAACGAGACGGCCATGAATGCCATGCAGCCAACGAAACAATCAATTTATTGAAGAATATTTCGCGTCGTGAGCCTGTGGTCGGGCTTCCAAGATTTGGCAATTTAACACCGTTGAACTACTCTTTTGTGGGGTCATCTGAAGTCACTGGTCTATGGAGATAAGCCCGAGAGATTGAAGTCTTGGAAATGGTCGAAAATTGAGGCTCTCGGTTGAAGTTTATTCGATCCAGTTATGGCGATCGCTTGCTTGAAATTACTTTTAAAATGTAGTGGTAGACACTTATCCTTGTAATAACGCAAAATTATTGGCCACAACCTTATATGACATGCGTTTATTCCTTTATGAAAATATGTCTAAAAAAAATCTTTAATAACTTTAAATTGCCCTAACACTTTTTTTATTCACTGAAAAAAAATAACAATAAAAGTAAAAATAAAAAGCAAACGCCTTCATTAGAATGAAAAAGCGCGCGAAAGGACTTCTGCACAAGGACAATCAGGCTAAAAAGTGAACGTCACTACATTTATCAAACTACCGTAATTTTGTTCTTTGTAAATATGTATGTATGTATGTATATATTTCAGAACATCTTATCTCTATATTTAATTTCATTTCATTTAATTAATTACAGACATAAAATGAACACTGCGTTGGAAGCAACATCGATCATTGAAATGCGGGGAATTCCATTAATATTATATACAATCGTAAGCTCATCCATAAATATTTTTGGAATGTTACAAATTGTATACATATGTACTCACAATGTACGATGCATGAATGTAAAAACCGTGTCTCGCAGTCCAAGTGGTTTTCTACATTACTCATCCGTGACGCCAGCTTGCGGATCCAACAACTACAAAATATTCTTCTCATCAAAATGAACACGAAAATAAAAATTTTCTTACTTTACATACTTGTATTATTATTTAATAGATTTCCTTTAACTGCTCAATGGAATGAAAGAAAATATTTCCACAGATTTCTTAGCCCATCCCAGTCTGATACTTTTGTCAACTTTCAAACAGTAGCTGGTTTTCAGAAATAATTTCGTCTAAATTTTTAATATTTTTATACGTCTTCTTCTTTATTGGCTGAATCAATATTAGCGCGCCATTCCTCTCTTCTTTTCGCTATCTGGTGCCAGTTGGAAATACCAAATGAAGCCAGGTCAGCGTAGCCGCTGTCTCTTTATTCGCTGAACTATGTCAATATCATCGTATAGCTCGAACGAGTACAGCTCATCGTGCCATCGTCTGCGGTATTCACCATTGCCAATGCGCAAAGGACCGAAAATCGTTCGCAAAAACTTTTCTCTCGAAGACTCCTAGAGCCGACTCATCAGATGTTGGTATCGTCCACGCTTCTGTGCCATATAGTAGGACGGGTATGTTGAGCGACTTGAAGAGTTTGGTTTTCGTTCGCCGAGAGAGGACTTTACTTTTCAATAGCCTACACATATGTACATTCATAATAACGGGTGATCCAAGTAGAGCTACTTCTTTTCAATAGCCTTTTTTTGACAAATCACACTGAACGTGCTATTTGCAACACCATACCCCATCTTAAGACCCCGCATTCATTATTGGTCCAGCACGCAGTGAAGAAAATATAGCGACCGTAGTTAAGAGTGTACACGAAGACCGCGTTAACTCGGACTGACGTATGGAACGACTAACGACTTGGCGTATTTTAAGTCGCGAAAACGTACAAAATACAGCTTGTGCAAAAAGTTAAGCCGCTCGACCCACCCAAGCGACAACGCTTCGCTGGATGGAAAATCCGACGTTTTCGAACCAAATTTTGTTCAGCGATAAAGCCTTTTTCTGGCTCAATAGGTATGTAAACAAGTAAAATTTCCGCATTTGGGACGAAGAGTAACCTGTAGAGATTCAATAGCTCCCATTTCATCCAGAAAAAACAACGGTTTGGTGTGGTTTGTGGGTCGGCGTAATCACACCGGATCATATGTCTTCCAAAATGATGCCATTAAGAACGTAACCGTCAATGGCGACCGTTTTCGCAACACGATGCCTGAAATTGAAGCTCGTGAGCTCGGTGACATTTGGTTTTAACAAGAAGGTGCCACGTTCCACAAATCACATCAATCAATGGATTTATTGAGAGAACACTTTGGTGAGCAGATAATTTTACGTTTTGGGCCGGTGGATTGGCCACCAAGATCGTGAAATCACACAGTTATACTGGGGTTATGTAAAATCTAAAGTCTATGCGGACCATCCCGCTTCGATGTAGGCGCCATGGAGCGAAACATACGCATGTCAATCGCCAGTTGACAGTCAAAATGCAGGTAGTTTTTTTGCCGAAATTGATGATGGGAATACTTTTTTTCCAGGAAGAGGACCTGGAATCGATTCCGCTTTTGTTTAATATGTGGCTCTGGACATGCAGAACTTTTTTTCGATCGATATATCTTAACGAAACACAGAAAGCTCTTTCCTTAGGCTCCTATATGGAAAACTTCTCTTTATCTTTCTTACTATTAACGTAATAGTTTATACAACAACAAACACAAGGAAGGTTCGACGTCAATAAGCTGCAAACACAACAAACTGCTGAACAGTTTTCTACTCAACTTGCAAACATTATTTTCTTTCTAACAGCACTTATTAGCAACTCGATATGAAGGTACTGGGGGACGGCAGACGGGCCAGCTTGTAACCTTGCGATCGACCACAACACGTGTGGGGTAGGATAGATAACGAGAGCTGAAGAAGAAATTAAAACGAGACGATAAATGAAAGAGGCCGAAATGCATAAATGAATTGCTTGAGAAGCTAGCCAACAAGAATAACGCAAGTCTGGAGAATAGTCATGTAATAACCAACGTGACAATGAAAATGCAACACCCGGAGCTAGCGAACCTATAACCGCAAACGATGATGATGGAAAAGACAATCCTTTGGAACCTACGTGTGCTCTGCCCAATCCATAAAAAGAGGAACTCCCACTGACCGAGCCAATTGGTGTGAGCCCACCATCAACGAGCGGCTTCAGACCTGGTAAATTCACCATTAACCATTAACTTACCATGCGACAAATCTGGGATAGGAACACTGAATACACAAGGTACAATCTGCTATAAGAAGTATACAACCACGCTGTTTGTTCTGCGTTCTTCAAGCTAGGTAAAGAAGCGAACCGAATGGGTTTGGCAGTGAACGAGGACAAGATCCCCATCATGTACACGAATCTTGAAATACAACACAAAATCATACTTTTCAACAAATACTACTTTGGGCTGAGTAGACAATTGAAAAATAAAGACCTCGCTCGAGGAACAAAGACCAACTCTGCAGCTCACTCAACATTCGGCTTTTAAGGTAT